GTTACTCGTCTTTCGGTGGACGTGTTGGAGGGTTGCCGTTGCGGGGTGGGGGACGCGCATTATTCACGGTTCTCTTTATTACAGGAGCGCCCTGGTGGCTCACGGCAACCAGCACCGGGGGTGTCCGGCGGCTCCCAGCGGTAAGTGCCCGTAAGCAACCTCTGACGCGAATCTCGTCCCCGCGAATTCAGCCCGCTAACGCGTGGGCGGAGGGGACCGCGTTTTCTGCGCGGTTTGCCAGGTGAAGGCCAGTTGTGTGAGAGTACGTGAGATGCGCTCAATATGTACGGTGTCGGAAACGGTGATGTCTAGGTAGCTTAGCGATGGGAGGTGGGGGTGGTGTTTGAGGTCAGGCTTAATCAGCTGCTTCGTCTTAGCTGTGCCCTGTACAGTGCTTGTGACCTTGACCCTTGTTTAGAGGTGAAGTAGTGAAACTTAAGCGTTAGTAGTAGCAAGGGGAATGCTTCTTACAAACTCGTGTAGAGCTTTGTACCCTTCATCGATTTCAGTAAGGTTTTAAGATTTATTTGGTAACTTTGGTTTACATGAGCACTGGATAGAAATCTTGTGATAAAGCAAGCTTCTTTAAACCATGAAGTGCTGATGTAACTCAGGGTTTAAGTACTGGCGATAAGGTAGTTACACCCTAGAATACAGTAACCTTTGTAGATATAAAATGGCTGCCACTAGAGGGACAGCCATTTTAATTATTAATATATAACCTTAACAAGCGTTACATCCTCTACAAGTCATATCCAGTGAATCATTAACTGTATATCTCACTGGTTACGGAGAATGTTTTTAATAGTAGCTTGCTGCATATGCTGCTGGGGTGTGTGGAGCTTTGTGCAGATAGTTTTGTAATGTGATACAGTCAAGATCTTGAAGTGGCTGCTTTGTACCCTGAAGGTACTTCCTTCCCCCTCCACCCCGTTGGAGGAAAACAGTAAAACTTAACCTCTATAGAACTGCAGAAGAAAACTATTCAATTTGTACTGATCTGGAAGGCAAATGGTTATTTTGCATTGTAGATGCAATAGGCTGCACTTAGAATAGACTGAAGATAAAATACCTTGCAAATTCTGTTTGGAGGAAAAAAAAGTATTAACTCGTATCCTTTTCACAAAAGGTGTGTGCTTACCTAGCAAACGAAGGGTATTAAACTTAAAACCCACACAAACAAACCTCTCTTCAAAATTCCACACAGAACTACTCGTGGTTGAAACGGAAGCCTTTTTTTATTTCACATAGAAGACTGACTATAGGAGAGAAAATGATGAAACTTAAAATTGTCATGTGCAAAATATGCTGATAAACTGGATGGGAATTGCTGGTGTGTTGAATTGTCCTTGGACTTCTTGCCTGTGTGTCATCATGTTTGTTGTTGCTGTATAAATGACTTGATGCATATAAATGATTAGCTTCCCCCCTCTGACCCACAACAGGAACAGAGACCGGGTATTGCAGAACAACAATAAAAACGGAACCAGCCTCTGAAAGTACCTGCATGGAGAAAATGGTGGTTAGGAAAACTGATGATATGACAGATTTCATGGATGATTTAACCCTCAGCTCACCGAAGAAAAGAGAGTCGTCTTTGAGATCCAAGAGGAGTTGTGATAGGTCATCAACAAGGTCGTCTAGCAGATCCTCTTGCAGTTCACAGTCTAGTTCAAGTAGTTCCTCTTCAGCTTCCTCCAGGAGTTGGAGTCGGTCCAGGTCCAGATCGAGGTCATGGGCTAGAAGAAATGGTTCCCGGAGGTACAGAAGATACTCTCGTTCATATTCCAGAAGCCGGTCCAGATCACGCGGGTACGTGAGGTACCGAGGAAGGTACCATGCCAGGCACTACAGGAGGTACCACTGCTCTCCTCCGAGGTACAGGTCACGCAGTAGGTCATGGTCTCGTGGAAGATCATACTATAGAAGGTCCTATTCGAGAAGCAGATCACGTTCAAGAGGCCGAAGATACTATGGATTTGGGCGAACAATATACCCTGAGGCTTACAGGAGCTGGAGAAGCAGGTCACGAACAAGATCTCGTAGTAGGTCACCTCTCCATTTGAGTGAAAAAGGTACTTTTCTTGAGACTTCTATTGTGTGAGAACCTCAAAACATACAGTTTACTTTAACCAGTCAAATTCTCATCTGTTTACCTGCTTGATAGAGCATAACTGATAATGGCGATGTGGAAGAAAATGTCTGTGTGGTTATAAAAATGTATTAAACAAAAAGTTAGGCAGTTCAGAGCATATTCTTTGCACTTCAACTGAAGCTAGAGCTCCAAGTTCTGAGGAGAAATTGTCGCAGTTGATGTTTATGTACGTGCAGTGATATTAAACCTGCATGTTTTAGGCTTGCGTGAGTAGGTACATGTTGATTTAAACGTAAGAGAATGACACTTTTTTCCTCTTGTAGACAAGAGGGAACTACTGGAAATAGCAAAAGCTAATGCTGCGAAAGCTCTGGGAACAGATAACATAGTCTTGCCAGCAAGCTTGAAGATCCTTACTCCTTCCAAAGAGATAAAAAATGAAAAACAAGAGCATGAAGAACCTGGAGAGTCGGCTGAGGTAAGTATGAACTGGAGTATTCTCACTGAAAAGGTAAACACTTAAAACTTGTCGTCTGCATGGATGCGTTACAGTTTTTAACGGTGGAGTTTGTGATGATGAATTCAAACCCTTGAACAAAAACTTCAGTTTTACCAGAATGCTAGAAACACTGTAGACTTTGTGTTAAGCTGAAAGTACTGTGGACTCTTAAGAGGTGGTAGATCCACTGAGTACGCACAGGCTTTCCAGCAGTGATAGGTTGGGAAGGAGAGGTGAATGTAGTTTGTTCTTCTGAGTTGTTCTTCTTGCCCATTACTTCGACTAGTTTATGTGTTTGACCTAAAACAAGGAGTCTCCTTACCAAACCTAGTGAGCAGTGTGGGGTTTTTTTTAAAGGTTAAATCTTTCTACCCTTTTTAACTGTTAAAAACTTTTCATATGCAACAAACTTGTATCCCAGAAATTACATACCCAAGCACACAATGCATTTTACATACTTTATTTCTGTCTTATAGAAATCATGACTATGGTTCCAGACATGATGAAGAAAATCTGTTGGTAATTAAGGGACTTGTGGGCTATAGCTGCTGTGAATTTAAGGGAGGGAGAAACTTGAGCAGCTTAAACTGAATTTGAATTTTAGTTTGGCTCTGTTGTTATGGTGTCTTAACCTGATTCGTGGTAAATACAAAACTGCAGTAACTGTTACATTGATCAGATACCGCTATTTCAAATGGAAGTAAATTTACTGAGGGTTTTAGACAAATGGTACAGGCATCCCTTTCATAATATATGCAATATATTCCAGATGTTGAGAGAGTACAGAAGAAGAGGCCTGCATCACTTGCAGATAAGTTTATTGTTGTTATCCAAAGCTCTGCAGGATCGCTATGCAGAACTTAATGCAACTTAACTCTACCACTGCACTTCATCGTGTGGCAGTCCGTGCTTGAATCCTTTTCAAAACTGTAACTGGGGCATGGATATGAGGTCACGTGTGAATTGGCACAATGACATTGATAAAAATATTGAACTGAGTTCAACATTGATCTATTTGCTTATTTAGTAGCTTACAGCTACTTCTGATGTAAATATCAGAAATGACTCTACCAGAAAGTTCATACCCTCTAGTAACTGCCTTAACTGGCACGGAATAGCGTATCCTCCCGCTTCAGCTGTCTGTGCTCTTTTCTAGCAACCCGGAAGACTAGCAGAAGACATGACCAAGGGTGGAATGGAGAGAGCGACCATACAGAGAAGCATTTCTTTCAGTCCTAATGTAAGTGTGATTTCCCAAGATGGAAGTCCAGTACTTCATCCCGCCTGTGCTAGGCTTTTCCCAGCATTGGTTGCCAGATTAAAGATCTTATTAATAGTAAGTTGAATTTAATGGTTCGATAACGACTTTCCTGGAGGAGTTAGGTCAGTACTTCAGCAGTAGGGCACTGTAAACACACTACAGCAGTGTGTTTAAAGTAGATGTTTACCTTTCAATGCCTATACCGTACTACAGACTCAAAAGTGTATTCCAGAACTGGTTTACACCGGAACTTATTTCAAGTTACATGTTTGGGTATATTTAAATAATGCAGAACTAAGGAGAAAGCAACTTCCCTGAATCCTGTGTCAGTTAAGCGTGCGTAGTTGATACGCAGTAGGCATCAGGTTTCCCGTGAGCTGGAAAGAAAACATTTGTCTTACCAGCACAGATAAACCCCTTGTAGACCTGCCAAGGTCTTGGTACATTCTCGTTCTAGCATTTTGAGAGGAAATTTCTTTTTCCAGAATACAATGGCAAAACCAGTACTACAGAAGCCAGCAAGCCATGTTGTCAAAGAACCGGCCATTTCTCCAGGAAGAGAAGAGGACAGAAAGGGAAGTCCCTATGGGCAATGGGTTCCTGTCAAGAAGGAGGAGAAGAAAACATTTTTAAACTTCTCGCCTAAAAGCGTACCGTTCCGGGCGCGCTAGCATTATTTTTCTTGCTCTCTCTGACTGCAGCGTTATGCAAACTTCAGTAGTGAGGTCTGAAATTTTCTGGTCAGGTTGAAGACTTGTTAATACTGAGTATTTATTTTGAGATCTTAATTTTGGAATCTTAGGTTTCTCTTTCAGATCTAGAGCACAGAGATCCAGAAGCCACAGATGGGAATCTTGTGTATATTTGTAAATATTTTTGTATTGCTTTAATGGACTAGAACTTACAGGTGGGTAACTTTTTCTAAACAATAGTTCAGTAGCTGTTATTTTGAACACTTGATTTACATTGTGTAACTGTTTACTTCAAGTCAATAAACTTTAGTTTTGCACTGGCTTCTCAATGTGTCAAGTATTAGACCTGCGTCCGGCAGTAAGCTGACTGTGTCCTGTAAGCGGTTACTTCCAGGTTTAGCTTTCAGTGACCCATCTCTTCTCGCCAAGTGCAGAAGAGAATTTCTGCATCATTCTGAAAGCGGACCTTTACACTGGAGTTGTTCCTGCCTGGGCTGGGGCTAGTTCAGGGCCTCCGGAGTAACCTCCCCAGGTACAGCCCTCTGCAAGCGGAAAGCTTGTGTTGATGTGCTCCTGGCTGCCACTTGCGAAGCCATGGCCATTCTCACTGTCAAGGTGTTGCACCTGAGCAACTTCTGACCTCCACTGCTGAACTTGGCTGCGTTTTGATTCAGGTTGCTTTAAAAGCAGCCTTTAAAGGCTCGCTGCGCAAGGCAGCAAGCGAATGGCGAAGTTAGCGGAAGAGGCTTCGCGATACCAACGGTACGGGTTACGCCGCTCCAGAACCGAGTGGTACAGTGGCTCACCAAGACCTCTACTCGAGGGAGAAGAGTGTGCAAGCAAGTCAACAGGCTGCTGTGGGGGTAACTCTTTGACAGAGAGGTCACCTGTGTCCCTCAAGCATTCTTTTTGCTTTCTTGCTAATCGGGTGTTTCCGGGGACTTTCCCAGTCTTCAGCTACTGAAGGATGAAGACAAGCTTTATTCTAAATTGAGGGTAAATATTGTGTTTATTTAGAACATGAAATTGCACAAGCTGGTCGCTTCTGCAAGTAAGCGCTATATACAGCTGAAGCTGTTAGCAAATTGCTTCCACTACATTAAATTATTGATTCTAGAGGTCTACAAAGCATTTTTTTGATACAACTTAAAATTGCCTGCGAAATGCCCATACCAAACCCGAGCAGACGCGTAGCAGGGCTTTGCCCGAGAGGAGGCTTCAGACGGCTGTTCCTCTCTCCAGGTTCTGCTTAATCTCGGCTGTGTACTTCCCGTAGAACCTCTCGGCCTTCTTATTGAACTTGGCGTTCCTCTCGTTGATGTAGTCGATGTCGGCGTCGTCGTTGTAAGGCCGTCTTCGACTGTATTTTTCACGCTTTTCAATTCTGCGAGACAAAGGGCAGCGTTTGAAGACCGTGGGTGATCCCTGCGGATTTGACTACACAAAGCTGCTCCGCGTCACCCACTTCTGCACTTCATTGCCGCGTTTACTTACTGTTTTTCAAGGTCTGCGACCATCCTATCAACCCCTTCCTTAGACGGCACGTGAGTTCCGTGGAGAAGACTGTCAGACGTGGGATAAAGCGCTTCACCGCTGGACAAGAGGAACAGAGGGGCAGGAGTTCACACAACTGCAGTGATGGCTTTGAGATTTCACTGCTGCTCTGCGATTCTTAACCTAGTGCTTCAAAGCACTGAGCTCCAACCGGGGGAGTCGAGGATTCGGGGGAGAACGTGCCGATACTAAAAGCAAGCGCGCTCAATTATTTCGAGAGGGGCTAGCACATGCCTACGGAAGGATAGAAACCCGCTGAAATTCCAGCTCCCCCTGGATGCGGACTTGGCAGGCTCTCGCCTGTCGGTCGGCCTGTTCTCGAGCCACGCCAGGCTGCTTAAAAAACCCCAGAACCTACTCTGAGCAACGAGAGTAATCCTCTCCCGCGTTTAAATGCAACCAAACTGACAAAATATTTCTTCAAACTCGGTAACGCCGAGTTTGAAGAAAGTGACCTCACCGATTACACCGCCGCGCCTCTTCCCTACTGAAGCAGGGGTTGCCGAGCGGATTATCGGGGAGGCCGTGCGGCTTAACATCGTGTTAAAAGGCTAATTAATACCACGGTGCATGCGAGAACGTGTGCGTGCCGAAAGGAGGAGCTTTAAAGTCTTGAGCGTTTGCTAAATCGTGTAGAAACACCACAGACAGCATCAGGTGACCGAACTCGAACTCACTACTGCTCTTTCAGCTTCTTGTACTGCTCCAGGTCAGGCTTGATCTGCCGGGTCAACCTCTGGTACTGGCGCAGCTGAGCAGCCGCGTAATCTTTGGGAGAAAACGAGTTAGTGTCAAGGTGAAGGCTTTTATTCCACGGTCCGGTTTGCCGCCGAAACGCCAACCACGGTGTTCACTGCGAACACGGACAATTAACGTAGTGAAGCCGTTACCTGAAAACCCCAGATCTGGATTTTTCCTCTTCTTTTTCCTTTCCCATCTCTCGGCATCCTCGGCACTGATCTCTAGCAGCTTAACTCGCTCGTAGTCTTCTCCTCTCGCTGCACATTCCTGACACAGCACAGAGAACACTTCGGTTTTAACAACGAGACAGTGGCCGAGCATCAGACTTAGTTCTGACTACCTAGATCGGTCCAGTCAGCCTCTAGCGCAGGACAGTCATTCAGATAATCGGGAGTCTAATCAGCAGATAGATTTTTGGGAGGTAACATCCGTGTAAGCTCCCAAAACCCCCTGGCCACCGCGAAGCGGGGCTCGGCATCGCCGTGGGCACTTGGCCTGAGGCTCAGCAGGGTTACGGGAAGCTGCAGGTGTGGGTTTACCTTCTTTTTTTCCTCCACCTTCAGCTCCCACTCCAGCCGAGCTTTTTTGGCTTCCCAGTTGGCCGGCAATTTCAGCCTTTTATCTTCTTCCACCACTTCTTGGTGGTTCAGCTTGCGAGCCTCGTTCTAGGAACAAAACGGGTTGTTACTGAACTCCACAGACGCGCGGCAACGCTCCACCACAGAAACAAAAAAACCCCAAAACCCCCGAGCGCCCCGAGGACCGCAGGCGCCCGTCCCGGGAGGGGGCCGGGCCGCC